AGACAAGGGACTAAGGGCATCACGCAGGATTACCCATCATGCACTCGATATTATGATATTTTGATATTTCTCATAATTTTTGCAAAAGGCTGTACGTGACTTAATAAGCAAATATGATGCGATACACAATACCAGACTTCCTTATAGCATGACATTATTCATATCTGATATAAAGGAGCATCCCTGGTTCACAAACAAAAGCATTTCATTGCAAGTTTGTCAAACCACAAGTACCAATTTGCTAGAAGAAATGTAATGATGGTGGTAAAGATGATGGCCCCTGTTAGTGAGTTTCAAAACAAACTGCAGTGGAGGTCTATATCTAGCATTATGAACAAGGATAAAGGTGGGTTGTCTGGTGTTGTATACAAAATTTATGAACTAAACATTCCTACTGTAAGCTTTACAGACTCTATCTGACATATCAATATGAAATCTTACACTCTTATCTGTCTTATGGCTCCATATTTTCCAAATATATCATATAACTCTTCAGCTGTTATTTTATATGGCAGGTTTCTGTAGAATAAAACAAATGCAGCACTTTAAACAGTATGCAATGATACTGCAACGATTAATAGGGAAATATCGATTAAGACTTCGTCAATGAAGCTTCTCCACAAATAAGACTTAAGCTTATAACTTAACAAGCGAAAAGATGAGCTCTACAAGAAAGTGGATTTTAAGATACTTTTACCTTTTTTATTAGTTAAAACTAATAATATTTATAAAGAAAATGCCGGAAAAGCAATGTCAATACTTACCTGACGTATAAAATTCTATTAACTTCTGGTGGCAGGCGAACCTGATAAATATAAGCGTACAATCAAAGACTAACACGATGCACATGGAATTGGTTCGACTGTTTGACCAGCTGTTTTATCGATATCAAGACAGCTTCACCACAAACAATTATTAAAAATCCAAGCTTTTGGACTTCTCTTGTAAAAATCAATGATTTTAGGAAAGTTACGGGTAAAATTATGATATATATTAGGGTATTTTTACTCACATTCGCCTTTCTTTGACTTTGCATCGCCATCTTGAAAATCGTCTTCAATACGTTGGCAGTGCATTGTGGGTAAAATCACAGGCTTCCCAAGCACTGCATAAATTTCAAAGATTTTGAGCTGAAATTCACACCAAAGACACCAAAGATAATTCTATCAATCTCTTATAAGTAATGCATCCCTGAAAACCTCCAATAAGACCTTATACTGAATCTTTGATTCAAGAAAACGTTTTTTTACAAATTTGAGTATTCTGCGGCGGATTCTGCGGCGTCATTTCTATTTTTGCATTTTCACTTCCTGTACAGATGGCTGATGGGATAGGAGGAAGGGCAAGTGATCATTTCATCAACAACATGGCGGCCGTGAACGCAGGAAATGATATGAGTGAATTAAATAAGCCACCACAATCAGAAACTGAGGGTAAAGTTGATAAAAATGGCTTGGAAGAGACTGAAATTCCTCTAAGTCCTGATCATGCAGCCGAAGAAGCAAGAAAAGAGGAAATYAGAGCCAAAATACAAACTGTAAGTTGTCTGAATCGAAAATATAATGCATAAATTTTCGCGACGACCAGCCTGGCGACGACAAGAGATAGTGTTTTAGGACGCCGGAGTCTAAAAATAGAGTGACACGTGGAAAAAAATATTCTGTCTGTAAAATATTTATCTTTTTTATTTTTACTGTTATTTTAGAAAACGTATAAATCCAAAATCACAAAAATCATCATTTGTTGAAAATAGAAATTATGCCAAAATTAAGCTAACAAAAAAAATATTCTAAATAGCTCAGAGCTTACGTATGCTCGTCGAGTAGACTTGTATTTTTATTTTATATAAAATTAGAGCAATTAAATGTATCATTTGTACGTAGGATCCCAAGTTATTGAAAGGAAATATTTTGCCTTAAGTTACGTTGTTTGATGTCGATCCATTTTGA